CTTCACATCAATGATACTCGCCATTCGTGGTACACCCTGTTCAAAATTTGGTTGCAAGAATAATCCGTTCTAAAACCAAATTGACAAGGGGAAATTATGTTGTTAGTCGAGCAAAACATATGATCATGTAAAATTTTCTCCATCAGTTTACACATGACCGAAGTAAAGTGAAGTGAGTCACCATTCCCCTTATATACAGGAATAACGTGAGCAAATTTCCATGCAGCCATTAAGATACGTTTGATCGTCGCGAATTCATTTAATTTAATTCGAAACCGTCGATTTTCAGCTGTTTTCGCTATTTTTTCGGAAATTTCTCTTCATAACTTTACTTCCTCTTGTCAGATTTTCGCCATTGTTGTGGCAACATGTAGCCTTATATATTAGCTGCAACATATGTAAAAATCAATTTGATTGGTTAATAAACGACGTCAGACTTGTTATTTTTGTAAGAATCAACCAGTAGCAAGTCAGTTTAGAAGCCAATGCTTTAGAATAGCAAACGAGTATTCGACCGTATTTTCGAGCAGAAGGAGCTTAGCTTTGGAGTTAAAATTTTGAATGTTATTTGCATAAACTTAAAATATTATTTTGATTTTCAGTTTGTGAATGTGTAGATGAACGTATAGATATATATTTTTAATGTATTTACATAACAAATACAGTAGTTATGACAGTATGTAAATGATGATATTCTGCTGGGCCCACGTATTCTCCTCGGCGAAACTCCGGTTTCAGATCTGATAATCAGACCATACCATTTTCAATGGGTCATGCAAGTGCATGGTAGAAGCATCTGTAAAGGGCACATATGTACAATGTTAAAAAAATGTATACCTAATGATGTATAATATTAATATTACCTTTTTGTTTATTTTGAAGTACTATGAGCCTGCACCTACAATTTTCTTTACATTCACACAAACTAAATATCCCTATTTTACAATGGTACATGTACATTTCGCACGCTTCAACGACCAGCCAACAAACCCTACGCAAAGGCAATTTTGACCAACTGGGTGATCAAACTTATCCTAATGAGGAACTTGACCAAGTTGTATTGGATTATTAAAAAATCAAACACATGATAAGAAAATAATTGCGATGCATTTTTAAGCATTTTAGCCGATATTAAATCGGGTCCAGGAGCATTGCTTTTGTTTCCCGATTACCAATAGCTTTATATACAATATCAGGAGTAAAGTTAATAGCATTAACTTGGTTGTTATCGCCGACACGGACATTTGTATCCGACCAATCAATATTAAGTGGGGTAGGATTACTAAAGCAACTTTTAAAGAACGACTTAAATTTTTCAGAAATTTGGAACATTCTTATATATACCTGTTCGTTATCCTTAAATGAACTAAGCATACCAAGCATGCGTCATTGTCCTAATGCAGGCCAAATAGTTTTTGATTGATTACCATGGGCAGTAACAGGCAGGTTATTAGAGTAATCGACATAAGAATTGCGAGTAATGACCCGTAGTCGGTTACTAAACTTTTTATATTTATCCCAACAACATAATTTGCTAGATTTTTTTTTGGCTCTTCTAAGCAGAATGCTTTACTTTTTTGACAAGTAAACAATTTCGGGTGAGATCCAGGGTTTTCTTAGTTTCCCTTTTACCATCTTACTGGGTATGGTTGAATTAATGATTTAGTTTTAGGAGTTTAAATGAAAGTAAGACCTGATCAACTTTAAGCTTAGGCAAGGCTAGGTGCCATAAGGTGTTTATCTGTGAATACTATTTTCGTTAGTTCACCAAATGCATAAGCCAGACCTAAACAAGATTACATATAATATTGTAACATCATTCTGTAAAACCATAAATACAGTTATAAAAAGGAATCTTACAATCTGTTAATATAAATGTGCGATTATATTAATTTCTTTCTATTTTAATATGTTTATTTGGATATAATTTTACACGTGTAGCGACCCAAAGTTTTTTTCAAAATGTAATACTTGTATAAAGCATGTGGGTTACAATATATTTCAAAAATCTTACAAATATTTACAAAGAAACACATAAATATTGAAACAATAAATCCTTAGAATCAGTTTTAACTATAAGACTTAATCCTCATTCTAATGAAGCCGTTTTGAGACACTTTAGAAATTTCAAAATATTTCGTGTGCAAATTTGAAATATATAGTTTTCTGATATATTATCACTGAGGGATCGAAGAAACAAAGTAGACTGTAAAGATCTTAACTTGCACAAACTGTTTCTGAAACATGCTTAACATAATGTTGATTATGTTAATGTGGACACTGTAGTCCAGAAATCACAGACTGTTACGTATTGGTAATAGTAGTGGCTGGCTTTCTTCTAATCAGCGTCGCCACAAGCCTTGTTGAATTGAATGATATGAATATGAACACGCCTTGGAAACTATTGAATATAACGAAGATATACCAAAGGAATGGTTCATCGAGAAATGAAGCAAGAAACCCAAAGATCCAAGTCAATCCCATAATGCATGAAATCTGAAATGTAAAAAGAACAAAAAAAAAATGAATGTAAATTACTTTTAAGAAACAAAAATATTCGTATGTATGTATGTATGTATGTATTATGTATGTATGTATGTATATATATATATATAGGTCGCAGGTTCGAGTCCCACCAGAGGCATTTTATTACACAATTTCTTTATTCGTTAATTTACAGGA